GGAGCGGAGCGGCCGCAGCGCCCGTCGGCGGGCGTCGGTCCTGCTGCGGGCGGGGCGCGGGGCGCGACCCGCGGGGCCCCGCAGGCGCCCGGGCGGAGCGAGCGGGGACTGGCGGCTCCTGGAACCTGCGGTGCTCATTTCACGTCTCGAATGTGCATGAAGGAATTAAACTGCACGAGTGAATAACAGCATTAGTTTCAATTAATTTTTATCCTGGCAACAATAAACTTTAGAAACAAAGCGCTTTTACATCCGCAATTAGTCTTGCTTCCCATCTGTAGTCTTTTTAAGTGCCTGCTCCTCGATTTAACTTTGTCCCTCCTTCAGAGCTGCCTCCTTTTCCGCTCTCCCCCCTTTTTGCTCGTTATCCCTTCCAGGCTGCCGCTTGCTTCTCCTGCAACCTTTCACCTTCCCTGTCCCTATCTGTCTGCTCTGCTCTCTGCAGTTTATTTCTACTGTATTTTCCCAACATCAGCAGCACTATTGGTTACCATGGCCCCGGGCTATGTGCAGAGGTGGGAAAGCTTCATCCGCCCAAAAGTTCTTAGACTTTTGAAGTCTTTCTTTTAGTAGGATCTGAAATGTATCATCTAGAGTGTGTATTAAATGAACAGTATTCCTGAAGGCTTTAGAGCAAGAAAGGCAACACCCTGGAAAATTCTGCAGTCTTTCAGCATTCTCTGCCCTAGGGTTATAGCCCTGGGCACGGAGCTGAATGGAGCTCTTACAACTGCCTTCTGTTTACCTTTTATGGTTAAAATAACAGCTTAGCAAAGAAGCAACTTCATGGAGAAACGATTCAGTGAAATCATCTCAAGCTGTAGCAGCATAGCTAGTTTAATCACCCCTAGAGAGCTGAACAACTGTGAGCACAATGGGACACAAAATCATTTTGTGTGTAAATGAGCATGGCATTGTGATTATTTCACTTTGCATGGGCAAATAGTTTTTACAAGCAGTACTTATGCAGTTAGCTTAGAAAGGCAGAAAAAGATAAGCTGGCTCTGAAAGATCTTGGTGTGCAATGTTTGAAAAACTAAATATTCAGATAATTTGGGAATCGGGCTCTATTGATTTTGCCTTCAGCAGGTTCCCGTGTTACTTATTAGAGCAGGGTTATTGCCTGTGCCACTAGTTGGGATGCTGTATCCTGTTGCAGGCAACTAAAGAGCAAGGATTATTTTACATGGTTTAATAAATGAATTTAGTTAGTGTTCCTGCAATATTCACCCTTAAGGTTTTAATTTTCACATCAGTATTAGAAAATACGTGCATAAAGACTCACTGGATAAATACATTTAGGATTTTGCTTTGTGCATAAAATAAGTGCATTATTCAGTGTGATGAATTTTATCTGCGTCTTACATTAAGGAGAGGAAGGAGTCATTAGAAATAGTGTTACAGTACCTTAAGAAATGAGAGTGCTTATTTCTTGGAGCACTAGAAGTGCTTTCAGTGTCCTTACGCTCAACAATTACGCCCCCTGATAATCTGCACATAGGAAATGACTGAAGTCCACAGCTCTCATAAACACGTTGGGTTCATTTTCAATACGAATCCTCTCCAAGCAAGGGAAAAGCCTGTGTTCTAATTCTCCCTCCTCCCCCAAAAAGCCGGTAGCATCCTCAGTAAGTATGAGAAGCCATAAAACTTTGAGAACTATTTTAGCTTTCCAGTGATTTTCTATAATTAAGTGTTTTTTCAACACATGCTCTAGCTGAGAGATGCCAAAAGCAGAGGATTGTTCAAAAGGTCCCTCCAGTGAATAGTATAAATTAAATATCTACTGTGTGAGTATGGATGGCCTCACTGAGAATCTCAGGCTTTTTACAGATCAAGGAATTTACTGGTATACTAACATTAAACAAAATCCTAAGATAGCAGCCGTGCTTAAATATGCACAAATAGATTCGGATCACTTGATCTTTAGCTATCTGTGCATATTTTAAAATTGAAGTCTGTGTTTCAAGACAAATGGTTAAATGCAAGACTCGTTTACAGAAGCCCTTTGATTTCATTTGGAAATTGTAACAAGGGGTGCAGATGAGCCCTAATTAGGCGCTTGTTTTGTGAAACTGCATGAGATGTGTTTCTAAGGCAGCTCTGTGCTGCACGAGGTCTGTACCTTTATCATTAGTGATAATAGTTAGGGTCTGAACAAAGACAGGGTTGACATTAAGCCTGTGTCTCCTGACCCTTTCATTTAAGTGAGGGAGCACAGACTGAACATGAGTTTGCAGTGCTCTTTGGTAAGAAAGAAAAATCTCTGTGTTGGCAGACAGATGAGGCACCCACAGACTGGTAAACAGAGCGCCAAAATCCTGCAGGTACTTACATACTAAGTTGCTTTTGAAAGTTAGTTCTTTTATTTATGCTATACGACCTATTTACTAAAGCTTGCCCACAACAAGCTCTTGTGGGAAACAAGAAAGCAGCATCTTGAGTCATGAAAGGATTCAATCACTTTCCTTGAAGGTGGTGCTGTAGTAAAAATGTTAATGCCCAATTTCACATCGACTGACACAGAAGTCCTAGGACAGAGCTGGCATTTGCTTCGTGCTCAGTGCAGAGGTCCCTTCTGCCTCCGAAGAGGAAAGGATGTGGATTCACAATGGGGTGATGTATTGCTGTGCTTTAGATGCAGGAAATCCTTTGGAGCTAAACCTGATAAATGCAGTTAGTGGAGACGTTATGATGACTTTATGAAGCTGTCTGGATGTATTAAGATTTTTCAGCTCCTTTCTAATAGCTTAGATTTGGATTTTTACAGAGAATATTTCTAACTGCATGTTCATTGAGTGTCACAGCCAGGCTTCTCGTGCAAAATATTTGCTGCTAAGAGAAAGACGAGACCAGCTTTAGATTTCTAGGAAACATTATCAAAGTAACGTGGGAGAAATGGGAATTCACTTTGTAATGCTGTATTAAAGTGCTTCTTAGATGGAAGGGAGAGTCTGGGTGTTTGGTAGCATGCTTGCAAAACAAAATACCAAGAAAATTAGATTATATTCAGAAATATCTTCAGTTATAATGTATTGCATATGTTGTTTTACCCATAAGGGGGAGAATGAATGGACATTTTCTAAAACTTACAGCAGATTTTTTTTGTTTGCCTTGTATGCTATCTGTACTGATTTAACCAAAATTAGCTCTGAGACACACGTTTCATGCAGAATAAGCCGTGCTTTTCGTACTGAAGAGAACCGAGGAATTTTCTCCTGCCTTGCTAATTCTTTCCATTTTTAAGACATTTAAGTGTTTTTTGCTTTGTCTATCAGCTGAAGATTCTTGACCCAATTCAGTAATTCTGCTAATTTTCAAACGTTTTTAGTGCAGTAGCCATTAGGTGGATGTTGAATTTGTAATTTCACTTGCCAGATTGCGTAGTGGTTTCTAACGCTTCTTGTCATGAAAACACAGGTCAATTTTTATATATATATATCTTTCTGTTTTCACTGCTTCCAGGCATTGCATTCAGTTTGAAAGCTTATTAGTTCTTTGTATCTAATATTAAGGCTTAACTAAAAAGTATCCATTCATTTTGCAATTATTGAAAATAAGACACAAAATTGATCTTAGTTTGATATGAAATTTACTACATGTATGAACTAAATGCCTTAAGTATTGAGGAAGTCACTAATTTAGAGGTGTCTTGTTACTGAGACAAACTTGCAAAACCCCCTGAATCCCAATTCACAAATTGGTTATTCGTTTGTCAGGGGATATTTCACATCTAACACATAAGCCCGCGACCTTTAATTAGAATTTTGCAGTTTGTTTTATGCCCCTTGAGGCTGACACCTTGAAATTTTTTTTTCTTGATTTCTTATGGCTAATAAGCATCTTTCCCTTCCCCTCTGGTACTTTAAAGAAAATGATGCAAATACACTTAATTACAGTGGTGGCAATAATTTGTTAGCTGAATATGTGATCAGGCAGATGCAAAAATGATCTGATTAGATCTGTGATCACACTGAAAATAAAGGTAACATACTGCTACATTTAAGAGAAACTGTTCTTTTTGTCCTCCGTTTCCAGGAGGGAAGAAGCATGTCCCGTCTGTCTCTAACACGGTCCCCAGTTTCTCCTCTGGCTGCTCAAGGAATTCCTCTCCCAGCTCAGCTCACCAAGTCGAACGCTCCTGTGCACATCGATGTAGGAGGACACATGTACACCAGCAGCCTGGCTACCCTGACCAAGTACCCAGACTCCAGGTAAGACTTCTGTATTTTCAGTCTCTCTGCCTCATTCCGTTCATTGCATGGAAATACTCGTGCACCTGTGTGGCATATTTTGGTGTGAAATACCATTTATTATATATTCACTTATGAATAATTCAGTTTCCAATTTATACGTTAACTTCACTGGTGTTGTATAGAAAAAATGCCTGTACAATTTATGTATTATTTAGAGAGCCTATTCATTTTTCCTCTCAGTGTCTTCAGCACTGTACTGCTACGTGTGAAGCACCTGTTGGTGTCCTGGATTATTTCCAACTGTACCTAGCAACCTATTCCTTTCAGATTTAGGGGGAAAAAATACTTCTTTTTTCCCCTTTTGAGAGAACAAAACAGTTCAGTTATACTAGGACAGACAGATGCTTTTGTTGGCCAGCAGAAATCCTAAAGTCAGGCATAGCTCAGTGCCTCTGTGGCAGCAGCTATGTCCTGTGGGCAGTGGCCAGTATAGCAGCTCTGTGCACTTGCAGCCACACTTTGGATCCAGTTTTTATACTTCAGGGTAGCTGATCAGCACTGAAGATGTTGATGACAAGCCTGGCAAAAAGAATTTAGTTCTGGCCGTATTATCGCAGAGGGAACTCCAGATACATCAAACTATGAACTGAGGTGGCATGAAAATATTGTACATGTAACACTGTCTCTTTGTTACTTGCCCATGTCCCAGTCCTCTGGGGTACTGGGCACCACGATGTATGGGTCAGCCTGGGTAGCATCAGACCTGTAATGGTACTGTGAAAGAGATCGCTGTTTTCAGGGTTAAAATATTTTCATTTTAGTAGTACCTGATTTTGATTTACAGTTATTGATCACTAAAATGATTCATCCTTTTGTCATTCTGACTGTTATGCTTCAGAAGGATAAATGCCTCGTGTGTAACCACCAGAAGGTGTAGATGTGTAGCATCGAGGTGCCTGTCAGTCTGCTTAAAGGAGACTATGGACTCAAAAGTAATCCAGAGCTCAGGCCAGCGAGTTATCAGAGATTTTGCTACCCACATGGCCAGTATTTCTGTAAAGAGAAGGACTTTTTTTTTCTTTATTGACAACCACTGTAAAGCTCTAGATTTATTTGGGGATTTTTCCTTTTAAAGAACTAGCTTTTTGGCACAGAATTGGCAGGTTCTCAAGCAATAAATGTCATTTATGGAGATACCTTGATATGCTTCTGATGTCATAAAGCTGGACTTGCGTTCTCATGCCAAGGAGAAATACTTGCTACATTGTCTATGGGAAAGAAACAATTATTAAAATACCTGTATCCTATGGTTAGGCTGAAACCATATATATATATATATATATATATATATATATATATATATATATATTTTTTTTTCAGAACAGTTGCTGTTTAATGTTTGTGTGGTACTTTAATCATAGAGAAGTCTGTTTGGTGGGGAGAGATTTATAACAGAGGAGCAGACAATTGCTTCATAGTAGAAAAATACAGAGAAGATTCAGTAGTTGTGATGGAACAGCACATCTGTTTCTGCGTTTTAAAATATCACTGCTGACACTATTTTTAAAATGTGCCTCATATCAGACTTGCTTAATAAAAAAATGTACATAAATTCACATATTTTATATAAAGAGAACAGAGTAGTGATTTAAAATCTTTTTCCTGTTTGCGAAGATACCAGAAGCATATTCCATAAGGTTCTGTAGTTCTATTAAGTTAAAAATACAAAACTGTGACTGACCAGAGCTCTTGTGCTGCCAGATGTTTTGCTGTGTACTGTATGTTGTTTGCATTGCAGTATTATCTCATAAGGCTTGAATGCTTTTTCAGCTGCTCAAACTTCAGTTCTTACAGGAGTAAGAGCTTGAAGAGCTAGATCTGAAAATCAGAAGGATTACATAGTAGCCGTGTATATTTTTATAGCAAAACATAACCCCTTACCACCACCTATGTAGATTGCATTGCTACATGTGTTATGGATGGCAGGTTCACTTTAAGTTTCAAATCAAATCTTAGTTGTTGTGGGTTTTTTTTTCTTTTCTTCTTCATAACTTGGCTTTTTGCAGCAGTGCACTGTAGACTTGGTTGGCTGCCCCATTGAGCCTGTCCTCTCATTCCCAGTTAAATCAAAATAAAACTTGCAGTTATTTCAGTGGGGATGATGGGAGCTCCTGATGGTGCTTCGCTGCCTGTGTGTGATTCTTCCACAAGGCACAGATTTCCATTGCAGTGCTCTGGATGAGAGAGGCATCTCTTGCAGATGAAAGAAGAAGGAGATAGCTTTTCTGGGTGAGACATCTGGAAAGAATGCCAGAGCACTATTAAATTATGCTCACATGATGATGTGCATGGCCACATATAGAGGCATAGCCATACTCATCCACATGCAGAGTTTCCTGGATTATTTTGGACAGCATATTAAACTCTTGGTTTGAGCATGAATTTATAAGCTTCAAATCCAAGAAATTAAACAAATTTCTAGCTTCTGTTTCAGGGAAAGATGTAAGCATATGCTGAAATGCATTGTTAAATCTTAGCTTGTGTCACATAAAATACAATTTGCACTCACTAAAAGTGAAAGCTGTGGGAATAACCTTCCTGTTCATGTTACAATCTCTATCTCTTTTTCTGTGTTCCAAAATCCCAAATAGACTTTTAGCTTGTAATTTATACAGCACATGCACATTTAAGGACATGTGTATAAACATGATCGTACGCAGAGACATCACTTGCTAATGGGAAACGGAAAACAATCACTGAATCATGTTTATCTTTCAATAGTATTTGAAGGAGGCCCAATCCTGTTAGGTCCTAAATGAACTCAGTTTGTGTTGACTTCAGCGGGAGGGAAGAGCTCTCAGCAGCTTGCCAGATCAGGCCCAGCAGGAGCAAGTATAGGTATGACCAGTTCCTGCCTATACCTGCTCTCCAGTCACCCCTCTGGTATGACATAAATTACACCTGACAGCAGGCAGCGTGATACATTTCTTATTGTAATTTGTTAGGATTGACTGTGCTCAGCCCACTCGCTTGCTTTACTTGTCTGATCCCAAGTTATGTGGTTAGCCCTAATTCATGGAAACAAAGGACCTGATTCTGGGAGTCTTACTCACGTGAGGGAAATAGCTGGCAATGTAAAGTTGGAGAACTAATTTTGCATTTCAGTGATCCCAGAGTTGTTTTGGAGAAACTTTGATGAAGTCTTTGATGGTGTTCATACTACAGTGCAGCTGCTGGGAGAAGAGAATTTGTCCATTGATTAGATTTGCATAAGCAAAGGGAGCCAGATTAGGCATTAAATGTGGCAGATGCCCTCTTTCCAGTGAATTTTTATGGGCTACATAACTTCTCCAAAGAAGAGAACACTGGAGCAGCACACAACTGTTGTGGCAAAAGGGAAGGGTTAAACAGCCACTGCCAAGGACAGTTTCTAAACTAGACATGCTCACCTTAGTCTTTACTCTTACAAGTTTTCCCAGTTGGCTTTTTAAATGAAACACCTTATAAATAAGTAAACTGGATTTTCAAAGGGTGAAAGGCAAGGGAAAAAAGAAACAAGCAAAAGATACTGTGAGCAGAAACAACGTAAACACAGCATAATAGTCACAGAGAGGATCTCAGAAGTAGTAGTATTAATCCCTCTACTTATAACTAGTTGAAGCTGCTATTCTTGTATACCTGAAATTGCCATTCAAGTTAACAAGTTTTGGGGGATTCATGGAGGCTGGCACTGACTTACTGCATCTAAGGCTCACTTTCTCTAGCTTAGTTTTAGTAAGTTTTCTCACCAAAACTGCCAACTCTGATAGTTGTGAGCTACAGGTGTGTAAAGCAAAGAAAAAAAATATGTTGAATACTCTTACTGTCAATATCTTATTTCTAAAGTAACCAGCTGAACAGACCAATTATTCAACTTTGAGAGCATTTCCTCTAGAAATTCCATTGATGTTTTCACCCACAGGACCTCTAAAAGCAACCCCTTCACACGTTGATACTTGAATATGGATTTATATGACAGATTATAAGGGAAGTCTGTAAAGACTTTAGCACATCTATAAAGTGAGCTGCAAATTGTATTTATTCAAGGGAATGTGGTAGCTCTTAAAAAACAAAAATAAAAAACAACCAGAAATCCAAGCTTTTAATGTGCAAAGTCGAATACCCAAAGATGCTGCCAAATCATCCAGTCTTACTCCCACTGAGTTCAGTGACAGATATCTCATCGACTTTAAGTGGAAAAGAACTAAAAGTTCTAAATCCCCTTATACCACAGCAAGCACACACTTTGCCATTTCACTGAAAATTTTGATATGATTTTTAAGTTGTTAGAAAGCAGAATGACATTTTTTTCATTAGAAAAAATGAAAAACAGGCCTGTTCTTTTTACAGCCCTGTTTAACATTTATCTCAGAGAATTGCTGTGAGCTCCCTGTGAATTGTTCAGCTATAAAGGGTAAATATATTTACTTTACATTCTTGGTTAATTAGTATTTGCTGTCTAACCCTCTGTTAAAGATAAATATGTTATTTTGTGAAGCAAGGTTATAAGAGATCTCACTTCCAGGAGCGTTGCTCATGTGCGAGAAGTGAGCAGACATCCTTGTAATTGAGGCAGAGGTTCCCTGGTGGGAGCAGTGTGGTCACACAGACCCAGAGGAGCTTCCCCAACACCGCTTGGCAGAACAAGGTGGCTGGGACCTGCCGGACTGGACCTGCCTGCCTTCAGCCTTTACTCCGTCTGGTTAACCGAGAACACCCACCTTTTTTAAAGTTTTCTTACCTCTTTAGGAAAGCAAAACTTGTTGGCTCTGTGGCCCAAGGCAGTGCTGGTGCTAACAGTGCATGCCCTGACCTTGAGGCACCTTGGCTTCTGGAGATGGCGTCCACCCATCTGGAGGCTCTGCCCTCCAGAGAAAACCAGCACAGGCTTTTCTTAACAGTTTCAGAAAGCAGTGATATGACTGTAGGTTTTAAGAGGCATGGTATAATTTTCCTGTTTTCTCTGCCTTATTTTCCTC